AATTTACGGTTTTTTTTTTAAATAAACATACGAACAAAACAAAAATCCCGAATAGTAGTTACTTGGCTGCATTCTAGTGGTAATCATGGGACCAGGATTGAGTACAAATCCAAAGATATTGTCCTTGTACCGAAGCAGATAGTGGCAACGATAAAATGTCTTTGCAGCCATGTATATTTAGCTTATCACGCCGGCCATGAATAAAAGGCAATGGCTCTAGTACTTTTAATTAAGAATATAATTAGTTCCGCAGAATGTGAAAATATGATCAAGTTACATTATGGAAAGTGTATTTTCAATAAACTTTACATACAAAAGTACAAACCATGAATTTAGGGGATCGAGCATTCAACCGCTAGCCACAGTGAATGAACAACTCAAACCCAACTGTTTAGAATACCGTGAAATGAATAGACTTTGCATTCCATTCAAAGAACTCCAATGCTTTCAACTCGAACGAGAGGTCTTAGCAAATAACAAAATCTATTACTTTGAAGCTTCATAGACTAGTTTTTATATTTGCCTCATTTGTTGTGCATCATCCTTCGACTGGATTTGTCTGTAAAAATATGAGATAGCGGGCACCAAGCTTCAGCAAGAGGCATCTCCAAGTTTTGAACAGTTTTGAAAGTTATGGGAACCATCTTATAGCGTTCCACCCAAATGATCACACTGATCATGCTGCAAAATGCGTGCCTGCCAGCCTGAAGCATCTACTTTGATAGGCTGGCAATCACGATCCAAACCAGATGTCGTTGCACAACTGCTTTGAATCCATCGATACTGCAAGATGACAGTAACGATAAGAGATTACAACCACCGATAATTTAAAGCTGTGTAACCACAATGTCAAGGTTCTACCAGAAATTTTAAAAATGTCACCAACTCTTTTATGTACCTATCAAATTGGTATGAACCATGAAGCAACATCCATATAATTTTCATTGATGAAATCAAAATTTACAAAAAGACAAACGTAAAAATGTCACTGATTATTGAGATACTAGGCATTAGTGACAGACAGGTTGACAGAAACAAAAGCATTACTAAAAATTATGGACTTTTGGAAATCGTTTTCTGCATCTTACCTCAAATAACCTTCAGAAAGACAGTTGCCAAATTAGCCTTGAGGATTTGAGGAAGAGTTACCAAGTCGAACAGTGTACTTTTACGGTTTAAGTGGAGTTTTTTTCAAGCAAAATGGTTTAAGGGTAATAGCCGAATTGGTCACTGTTTACTCATTATTGGATTCTGAGATTGAGTCTGAATTCGAGCTTGACTTCAGTTTGTCTTGGGTTTCATTTGAACTTTTCTCTATCCAAGTTAATCTGTTTAGAACTTGGACTCGCAGTTACTGATATGGTTAAAAACATCCATCTTTTTTCTTTTAGGTAGAAAGTAAGGATTCCAAAGTCACGTTATAAATCCATTTGATTTTCGTAATAAAAAATATTTTGATTTTGATAGTACAGTCGTATTTTAAGGCTTTACATTAATTTAATTCTCTTTACAGATAATTTTAAAAGTACATTCTTTCATGTCAATTGATACATTTGTAATTTTATTTTCGAAGTACTTTTCATAATGAATGATATGTAATTGACAAGAAAATGAAACTCATCTCCTTATTAATAGAATTAATCTTAAATTATAACATAGTTTCACTTTTTATGTATAAAATAATTTTTTATAATAAATTATATAAAAAAGTAAGAAGCATGCTACGTATAGAAAAGTTAGAACAAAAAGAAGTCCTTTTCTTTTTTTTTTTTTTTTATTTCGTTTGAAGCCAAAATGTTTCTTTGAAATTGTGGTAGAGTTCGACTTGAGGAAGGTTTTCCTGGATACGGATTTGAGGTAGCTTGTGAAAGGGATGAAAGGATGCATTAATATTAAGCAAAAGGATGTAAGATTTGGCATTTCTTTGAAACTCAATTTGGTAGAGATTTGTCTGAACTTCATATGTGTTTTTAATGGGAGGGTAAATTATGGTCATTGTTGATTTAAAGGATGATGCGTTTCATAAAAAAATTATAAAAAAAAAGGTGGGTTGGGGGTAATGTTTAGTGTTTATGATTGTTGTAGGTGAATAGAATTTGCAAAAACAAATATCCTATGCAAACTCTATTAGTTTGGTTTTTTTAAAATATCACGTTCATTACGATGAATAATGATGATACATCCATATGTACAAATAAAATATTCAACGATCTAAGAATATTTTAAAAATTAAAAAATTAAGGAAATTCAAATTTTTTCAAAATTTTTTTTGAACATATTTTTAATTGATAAAATTAATAAATCTATCAATAATTTTTATATTATGGATATCTTGAAAACAAAATTCTGAATTGAAGATGAATATGACTGTGTGAGTGTATCCTCCATTGATGTAAGCCCAAGGTGGGAACATGGTGGTGCCATTTCACAAACAAAAGTATGATACTTGGGACCCGGTCAGAGTATCAAGGCTAGGTAGAGTTAGGTTGGAAACTTAAGGCAAATTAATTAGGATGATTAGAATATTATAATATTTTAATTACGCAGCTGCCTTTCCAATTTATACTATATTTCTTTTCGTAAAACACGTATGATCTCTAACAATAATTATATGTAAATCTATAGAAACGCAAGTTCATATTTTGTCCTTAGATCTCCAACAATGGTGCCTTGAAAGGGTACGTTGGGGCCTCAATCGGCTGGGTCATCGCTTAAACCGTAATTTTCATTTAACTTTGACTACCTGAATGCGTGTGAGAAAATTACAAGTTAGTTCTTTCTTCAAAGTAAAAAGATGGTCAGAGTAGGCAGTAATACTCCCCAGTATTGTTATCCCAACCCTTAATTGCTAGAATTAGTCTCTCGTAGTTTTCTCTTTAGAATAAGATATATTATTAGATTTTATATAAATATATATAATTATGATTCTCGACATTTTTACTAAAAATTTTGAGAAATTTAAGATTTTACGGTATTAATTTACATAATATCAGTGAATAAAACATAATGTCCATACTATGTCTTCTGACATAATATCAGTGAACCATTAAATCAAGTCTGAGGTGTTAAAAATGCATCATTTTACTAAGCATGACTATTAGATTTTTGGAAGATCTTTGCACTAGTTATAAAAAAAAAGCACACACACACACACACATATATATATATATATATATATATATATATATGCTTTTCGAAATAGCATATCCTCCCAAAAGGTCTTCCATCTGTAACTTTAGCTTGTTGATAACTTTTACTTGAAAATTCTAGCAAGGCGTGCTTCTACATAAAAAATGTAAGATGGTATCACAGCCTATTAAAATAACCCATTTTTTGTTTGACTTCCTAGCTATAAATATGGGAAGCCAAACCATCATCTTATCAACAAAGAGAGTTGTGCAAGGAAGAAAGAATTAGAGAAAGCTATCTTGCAATTACCATGAAGAATAGCTCCATGCCTCATTCATACCACAACTCCAAATTTCCAGAACCAAATGTCCATAACTTGAAAGATCATAGAGCCATGAGGTCCAATGTCACAGAGAAAAAGCCATTCGTCGACATAAAAGAAAGTGCTGAGGCATTCATCCAGAAATTCAGGCACCAACTTTTGCTCCAGAGGCTGGAATCCATTGAGAATTATGAGCAAATGTTGGTAAGAGGACTCTGATCGGTTGCCCTTTCTTTTATCTTTAAGACCTTGCACTGGTATTCTGTGCTAGCTTCTTCCATTTGTTTCATTAATCTGTTTTTTGGATTGTATTTTATCTATTATGGATGAATATATACAGATGATATCGAAAGTTGAAAATATGTAAAAGAAAATATCGTCATATATTATATAATTAAATTAATACAAGCTTTTTTTTTTTGTATAATTTGTAGTAATTTTCATGATGAATTCTTGTCTGCTTTCCCTCTGTAATCTCCATCTCTGTTTTCCATGTCTTTCAAATGATAATCTTTTAAAAAGAAGGATATCCCTATTTTAAAAGCAGTTATTATATAGTTGAAAATCCTTTTCTTTTTTAATTTTACATTAAACCGTATACGTTAAAGCATTTGACTGTCCTAGAGTTTAGTAAATCACTAGATCCTTTCTTTTTTAATAAAAAACTAAAAAGCAGTGCAGAAGCTTCCAACAGCATCAGCGCTATCTAAATGCATCTTACGAACCACGGTGCAATCGGAGGTCAAAATCCCATTGAATTCCATTGCTTCGATCTGATGGAATCAAACGGGTCCTTATTAACCCCACCATTTCGTAAAAGGATAACTTTTTTTTTTTTTTCCAAAATGCGTCGTTTGGTTCTCTTTTAGATCGTCGAATTCAAATATAAATTTTTAATCTACACAAATTTTATAGATCTATATTTTTTTTCTAATTTTCGTATTTTTTTTATTTTTTAATTATTATTTTATTTTCATTAAAAAATGAAATGATTATTCTATAATGTTAAAACAAGTAAATTAATCATTTTATAATTTTGAAAAAGGTAAATAGTCATTTTATAATGTTGGAAAGATGTCTAAATATAACTTTTTGGGAAATCTTTTAATATATTTTTTAATTTTTTTGTTATTTATATTTTAAATTATTTTATTTTGATTAATGGGTAAAATGATCATTTTATAACGTTAGAAAGGATAAAACGATCATGTCACAATGCTAGACTAATGTTGCAATATAGTACTTTTGGAGATTCTAAAATATGTAGATCTGATTTTTTTTTCTATTTTCATATTGTTTTATTTTTATTATTTACATTATAGGTTATTTTGTTTTTATTAAAGCTTAAAATTATCATTTTATAATGTTGGACATGTGTCAAAATATAACCTCTTTGAAAATTCTTTTAATATACTTTTAAATTTTTATTATTAACATGCATTTAAGTTATTTTATTTTCATTAAAGGGTAAAATGATCATTCTATAATATTAGACAGATGATAAAATATAATCTATTTAAAAATTCTTTTCATATATTTTTAATTTTTATTATTAACATTTTAATTGTAATTTAGCAATTATCTGCTTCCTGAATATAGAAAACACATGAGACCCATTTTCCATCTATTTTCCATCCATCACCAAGAGAGAAATTTCATTCAAATTCATAGATGATGAACCACAGTGTTGCAAGAAGACAAGAACATTCCAATAAAAAGCAAAGAAATCAGCCGCCAATCGAGAAAGTAAAATGCAAGATCGCATTACGGTAAGGGGGAGACAGAAGTCCTAGCATCCAACCAAGATGAATGAATTTGGCCTTGCGTAGGTTGAGAATTTAGGGATGAGACAAGCGGTTTCTGTCATTTTAATTTCAAATTTTCTTTGGATCGCTTATTCATGAACAAAAAATCGAAGAATCAACTCAACCAAGAACTCTCTTCCGTTCGTCTGGTTGCCTCCAAATAGCCACAAACAGGCAAGAGGCAAGACAAAAAACCCTTTACCAATTCTAAGACCTATGGACGAATGGCCAATTTATTTAAAGGTAAAATAATTATTTTATAATATTAAAGAAAATAAAAATAATTGTTTTACAATATTGAACAGCTGTCACTCTCTAATCCCTTCAAGAATTCTTTTAATAGAGTTATATTATAGATGAAATTATGATCACAAATAGAGATTATGTTTACTAAAGCATCTTAGTTGTTAAGAAATAGTAATAGTATGAAATGAGAGATACAGAAGGGAAGAAACGTAAATCCAAAGCCAAAATGAATGCCAAAACAATGATCAATTTTAAGAGCATGGCAATGCCTTAAAAGAGGAAGAAATGGCAGGTTTCAGCATTGGAAGGAACCTTTTTGCTAACTTCCGTCCAAATCCAGGACTCAAGATTGGTTGGGATTTAGATTTTGTGGGCCTCTTCTTTTTTTTTTTTTTTGGTTTCTTAACTCTCCTCTCCCTCCAAAATGAACTTCCATTGGACAGGTGCAATCATAATTTTCGATTCTTTATCGGTCATTCATTTGATTTTTCAATACTACATTTACATGATTGATTGTAGATGAAATTATTATTCTGGATAAAGACTTGAATCTAATTAATACGAGATGAATTTGTCCAATTTGGAAATTAGATTGACATTATAACATGACCTGTTGTAAAGGTAACCTAGTGATAGACCATAACTCTGAAATTGACACAAATCTAAATACGTAAATGAGGTGTGAATGATAGCTATATATCCTAGTATTATTCGAAATTTATGAAAGGATAGATAGCAAAATCCTATTCAAATTGTGATTTTTTATGAAGTTTTTATTTTTCGTTCTATGATAAATAAATTAGGATAAGACTATGTGCTCATAACATGATTTCCAACAAACTCTTTCATGTGAATGGCATTTCACACTGTATATCAATCAAAACTAGTCCCAACTTGTGCATTAAAGTAGTAGATTTTGATACCCCAAATCATTCACAACAAGAGAAGGGGCCTTATATAATTTTAAGTACTAGAAAGAGCTTTAGAGAATAGTCCATTTTTAATTAATTAAAATAAGCTCATAAAATGATCACTTCCATTGGGATCACATCTAGGCCTTGTCTTTAATAATTACGAAATAAATAATATTCAACAAACTACTAAACCAAGTGAAGAAAAACAGGGACTTGTGCATACAATAGTTAGACAAGAACATGACAAAAACAAAGCAGATAGGGTGCTTTTTTTCTTATGATTTTTACTAACATGCAGCTAAATCAAATGACTTAGTTCTGCTCCTGCAGCTGCTCTTACTGCTGAACCACTTGCTGTATCTGCTGACACTGCAGCAGTTGCAGATTCACTCGGGAGCATGATCGAGCCATCTCACCTGCCAGTGGGATCACTGGTAGGTTATTACAGTTGCATATCTCAATCATGAACCCATCTGGGTCATGGAAGAACAGTTGTTCAACATAGATCCCGCCTTCTTCCACTATTGCCCGCACGTATTCCAAATCCATTTCCTTCAGCTTCTTCTCCACTGTCCCCATGCTCTCACACTAAACATGGGAATACAATTAGTAAATTAATTACCTAAGCTGCAAATCTATAGCTACCAGGGTTCCTTATCAATTTATAGTTGATTCATCTTCCTGTCAATTCCATCACCATAAACAAATTAATAAACAAGAGGGCCATGCATACACTAAGCTATTTAATTGTTTCTAATTATGTTATTCCTCCCCACCAACTAACATTCCAACATGATTACTCTGGAAAAAAGGATAAAAAAAGAGGTAGCTGATCATCATTGGTTTTTAAGAATAAGAAAGGATCAAATTCTAGAAAAATAACATGGTATCTTTATTTTTTCCACTTGGTGTATCAGAATTCAAATCCTTAGCTGCTGCATTGGCATTAATAAATTACAAATAGGTAAAACTATTAGGATTATCTGCCCAATTCAGAGTATTTGAATTGAAACAAATATTTACATGAAAAAAAGAAGAAAGAAATTAACCTGGAAAGAAATGTGGTTGTCCTTGGGATTGATTTTCTTTTTCTTTGGCAAGTTCTCTGGATCCTCTGATTGCAGAAGATGTATCCCGATCCCATATCCAAACAACCTGCATCATCACAAAAGAAAAAATCCAGAAAAATGTAATCATAACTTGAAAAATGAAAATCAACCCAAGATTTCTTGCGCTTTTCATCATAATATTTCAGAGGAAATTTCTTGAAACAAAAATTAAGATTGACAAGAGTTCATTACCATGCCCCATTAAAGTCAAATGTTCCAGGCCTCCTGATTGGAACAAACCCAAGAATATTCTGATAGAAATCTATGGATTCCTCAACTGATCTACACACAAGGGAGATGTGGTTCAAAGATTTGAGTTGAAGAGGGTTTTCCATTCTTCCCTTCATCTTTTTAATTTTTCCAAGAAAAAATGTTTAAATCATTCGACAGACAAACACACCAGGAAAAGCGTAGATAAAGATTTATGGAAAGAGTATGATTTAGAAAAACAGATAGATTTGAGAACCAGAAATTTATTGTTAGGAGGAAAACCAAAGAAATTAAAACGAAGGCGCTACTAGAACCGATGTAACGAAAGAGAGAAAATCACGGCACTCCGTCGAGAGATGCAAAAGAATTGGGGTTTATGTATAGCAGGAAGGACGCAATGGGGACCTCTTCATGCAAGCCACCTGTCTTATAATGTGGATTACTCTGACACGTCGACACCGCGTGTTGACTAGGATTAGCACCACCAAGGCAAGAACCAAACAAAGCTCTTCTGGTCAGAGACACGTAAGTACTTGATATGGGTTCTTGTCGGACTTGGGTGGGTAACTTTGTCAGTTGCCTTTTGCTACAAAATTTATTCTTTTTTTTTTAATGAAAAAATTTATTCTTTCTTTTTTGGTAAGATTTATAATCTTAGATATTAGATTTTTTTAGAATAGAATATATTATTTATCAAAAATCATAAAAATTTTGATATACAAAATTTTATATAATTATTTAATAAAAAAATCATAATCTAAAAAAAATTACAAAGGTTATGAGTTAAAATTCAAGTCTATTAATTATCATATTTAAAAATAATTATATAATTTGATATGTAAAATTGAATATAATTTTTTTACGTGAAAGAACATAATTATTGATGTGAAATTTATTTTTGGTGAATTCTTTTATTTAAAAAGGAATTTAAATCCTTTTTAACAATAGATAAATATGTTGCCCTTTCTAGATAAACGTGCGGACACTTTCGTAAAAATTTTTTATTAAGTGAAAACGAAAAAGTTAAAAATTTTTTGAAAAGAAATGCAATAGGAGGATTTCTAAAGTTTTCATTTGAATTTGGATATATCTAGTTAACAATAATTAACTATTATAATTACTAGTAATTGATTTTTTTTTATAAAATTATAAACAATCATAATAAATATTTTATTCATATATATAAAAAATTATTAAATAAATTTAACATAAAATTAAAACAAATTCGTAAAATAATATTCCATTTATAATCTCAAAATTTTAAAATATTCGTGCCATTGATTCAAAGTTTAATTAGCAAGTTTTTTTTTTCTTTATTACTTTTAAGATCCATTATTGCTAGTCACGAGAATTGTTTCTATGATAGATGGATAAGCCAAGGGGCTCAAAAGTCAACTATGAAAATTGTGCACACATCAAATTTAAGTGGCGAGCTAGTATTCAGCCTTTCCATCAAATTGAAGTACAAATTGTGATAAATACTTTATAAAATTGGACATTCAAATTAGGGAGATGGGAATTTAATTACTCATAGTTTATAAAAACAACATTTATGTGTACTCTCAATTTGTCATTACTTTACATTTTGTATGGTGGGATGGAAAAAAAAAGGGGAAAAAAACTTTTTATAATTTTTTTCTTAGATTAAAGGAAAAAAAATGAATGGATTCATTTATAGATTTTATGTCTTTCTAAATTCAATCTTTCAAAAAGTAAAATAATAATAATAATAATAATAATAATCATTTTATTTACAATTTTATTTTTATTTTTTGTTTATTTTTCCCTCCTCAAATACAAAAAAGAAAACCAACATTTTTTTTTCTATTCTCTTCACACTTTTTTTTGTTCATTTCCCTTCATTTTTGCCGGACATTAACATTACATACACGTTTATCATGGAAACGATGGTGATTGCAAATAGTCACTGTCATTGCTTGTATCCACGTTTATCTTTATCAGCATGCAATATTTAAAAATGAAATATGACAGAAGGAAGTATAGGAAATGATGTAATTAGGTCATGACATGCAGACAAACAACACTAATTTCACGATCCGTGCTAATTATTTTCTTAATTTATTCCTAACCAACAACTACTACCAATTAATTAAAGTTTTGTAATCAAAGAATTAAAAATGAGGAGAGATACAAAAATGGTTTAGCCAAAGATAATTATAGCATGTGCTTAAAATCGGTGCTTTATTTCAGCCTCTTTTTTCATATTATTTTAGTGTTTCAGTCAGCTGTCTCAATATATAAAACATATATCTGGATGTGAGCTAATTTAAAAGTTCTAAATTGTATTTGTGATATAGTAAATTAAGTAAAAAATAAAGATGTTCAAATAATTTTAACTAATTATCTAATATATTTTTATTTGAACCCATAATTTTCTCAAAAGATTTCATATATTAAAATTTTAATACAATTAATTTGTGTTATACTACAATTAAGAAAACATTTTTGACTTTTCAAATATAAACAATTAAAGCCTAACATATGGGTCTTTACTTTTAGGGATGTTAACACAAAAAAGAATTAAATAATAATGATTTTTGGATTTGTTGGATTGGAGATGCCTTTCCCTACCTTATACAACCTTTTTCCCTTTGTTTCTTGATTATTACATTTATTTCGTTTCATCTTTCAATAGTTAGTGTTCTTATAGGGATGTTCGAACCAAAGAGTATTTAATTACAATAATCATTGGTTTTCTTAATAGATCTGGCTTCTCACTCGTCATAATCATACTGCATCCTTCATAAAAAGAAAAAAAAAAAAAAAGACTGAAGAGTTTAACTCGTTCAATCAAAGAAAATGACGAAATCCCTTCCATTTCCTTATTCGACCATCCCTATTTATTAAATGTCCATTTATTTTTGAAAGTTTTTGATCTTTTAAAAGTCTATCTTAAAAACCCTTTTTAAAAAATTCAGTTATATCCCTTCATTTGTCATGCAGATTCTCCTTCTTTTTATTTTTAAAGTTGTAATGAAATTGGGAAATAAAAAAAATTTGTTACCTTTTTTATTTTTTTATTTTTTTTTTTGCTAAGCCAAAATTTATTGAAGTAACCACAAGGTTACAAAGCTAGTCTAGACTAGCAAATACAAGATCCAAAGAATCAATACAAACTCATTTGAGTATCAAAGAACACTTAGATGTAAATCAAAGAAAAGTACCCTACTAGTTCTTGATAATAGCCAAGAGCAATCAAGACCCAAAACAAGAATCTAAAATATGACCAACTATAAAAGAGCTCACCACACTTGACTTTTGAAAGAAAATATAAAAAAATTAATCATAGGAGCAAGAAAATATATACCTATGAATTTAGAGATAGACAGCGAATAACGATCGGTCGATGATAGAATCAATCACCCCAACATACAATGCAAAACCACCATGTGACAACCATTGAAAACTAATTGGTAACGTTATCATCAAGATCCCTCCATTCCACTTCCATTAACTTGTCAATAATAATTTCTTCATTACCATTAAATGACAACTCGAGCCGTTTCCAAGCTCTCAAGTTTTGATAGCCTTTTCTTTATGAAACAAATTTACCCGTTCAATATCATTATCTGAGATGCTGTTATATTTTTCAAGGGTAATAAAGGGATTGTGAGCACACAATAAGATTTTCAAAACTTTCTTCCTACTCCATTTGTAGTTTTTCCATTTCTTTTTCTTGATTTTGTGACCTTTTTAGAATCTTCCTATCTGAGAAATGAAAATGGTCTTTGATGTCTTCATAATTAACACCATACTCCTCATCTTTCTTATCTAATTCACCCTGATCATTTTGGACATATTCCTTTCTCCTTCTTTACTTCCTCAACTAAATTCTTAGGATTTGAACTCAACCAATCTTCTAATAAATTTTGATCCTTGATTACCACCTCAGCATTACCACATTCAACTAATTCAAGACAACCACCAATGTTGTTAAGCTCTCACACTACTTTACAAGAATTTGGAACCATATCACAATTAGAATTACACTCAATAAATCCTTCTTCACTACTCACCATAAGATCAAGGCTTTGATTATTTTCTTGTATTGGAACAATATTAGGTATATCCAAATACCTCACACCATTAAGGGATTGCTTATCATCAATCGAAGGCAAGTTTGTACGTGATTAGCCATCTCTACTGAGTAATTCTCATATGATAACTCTTTTTCATTGTTCTATGTATCCTTTTTTAATTTTCTAAGATATAAGCTTTTAGTATCTCATCTAGATTGATTTTGATAACTAAAGACCCTTTGTCTAAAGAGACTTGAATATGATTGTACGCAATACCATAAGAAATAGAAATTGAACTCTTATTAACCTTTTCCTCTACCGTGCAAAAACTATCAATGTATTTTTTATTCTAGATTCCGACAAACTCTTTTTAAGACTGCTGAGTCATTTACATTTTTTTGCCTTACACCTTTAACCACTTTTGCATAAGATTTGTTAAAATAGATCTTAGGCCTACCACTAGGTTCCCTAACCTTAGTAGTCCTTGCATGATGAACTTGGTCTGCAACATTAGATATTTCTTTAGCTATGAAAAGCCTAAGTTTATAAGTACCAATCCATATACCATCCAAAGCTTCAAGTAAATACCCAATATCCTTTAACATTTCTAAAACTGGCAAACCTATATCTTTGACCTTCAAAAATTTTTTACCTTAAAAATTTTATTGGAATGCTGATGTTACTGGTCTTTCTGGCTTACAGAATGCTACTTAAAAATTTTCCATGTTTTCCTCTTAGATAGCATCTCCAGATTAACCTAGGTTTATACAAGAACAACTTTTAAAAACATATTTGACAGGACAAGTAATTCATACCAATGTCAACCCTCTCTAAATTTAGCTCTCAACAGCCAAATAGAAAGCTTGGAAAAAATTAAAGGGTGCAAGAATTAAGGTATGCAAGTACATGATTCTTACAAGCAGTGGAGACTTAGTGCGGCTCTATGGGAAATTTTGTCAAATAAGTGGTAGGTACTATTTTAGGAAGGAGTTTTTGAAAAAAAATATGTGATAAAATGGACAGTAATGGAAAGATAAGATATTAGACTAGAAAAGAACAGAATATAAGACCAAAAAAGAAAGAGAAATTGAGAAAGAATTTAGTAATATTTTCATTCATGATCTTGAAATCATCGTTTTACATGTTTATAGCTCATTCCCTAAATTACTTGCACCACTATCACACAACTATGCATAATATCAACAACTTCCTTATTCCTAAATTACTCAGTAAGGTTGTTATACTTCACGTGACAACTCCCTTAAGCTTACTTAGCATTCTACTACTAACTTCCTTCA